AAAATGGGGCGCCCGTCCAACATGGAGGTCATTATTTTAGTTAGGTACGTGGGGTCGGTGATTGCAGAATGTTCGATCATGAGATTTGGCAAACTCGAAAGGTTGTGTTCATGGCATTGCAAGCGTGTAGCCAAGGTCTACTAGTATTTGAAGAGTGTCAGGGGATGCGGGGCCATCACCCCTTGCTCTTGTGGGCCTCTTGGTTCCAACCATCCAATCCAAAGTCGACAACTGGAAAAATAAAAATGCAAGCTTTGGATTTGCTTAACAGGACCACTAACTAGGCTGGCTTCCCTGTCTAACGGGGGATCAGTTCATTTTGGGAGGCTCTGGTTTTATGGTCCTCCGGATGGATCTAAAGTGGACAGTGCCCTCCCTCGGGGTGCTTTCGTGCCTGTTGGAATCCCTTATCTGAAACCAGATCTACCTGGCTCCCATCACAGGTCAACAGAAGGAATTGATTTGTTGTTGAGCGAATCCTTGTTGGATGGTTTTGAAGGGGAAACTCCCCAGCAACCACCTGGAGAGGTCGCCTACGGCAGAGCTAGGGCGAGACGCCCAACGGTCTCAGCCAAGGTCCTCCTCAATCCTTTGTTGAGGGCGCCCCGCGCTCGCCTCAGACTTGACAGGCCATCTAATGGGCACCCCAGGCTCAAGTGGTTGAGGTAGGGAGTGTCCAATTTTAAAGGGTATCCTGCACCTGCGGGAGAAGCACCCCCCCAATTCACTTGCAAGGTTCATTGCGGGGGCAACAGTTTGGGAAGCCAGGTAAACAAGTTGGAAACCTTTCATTTACCACACATTACGGTTGGTTCACGTGCAAAAAACCAGGAACGCTTGCAGTTGTGTTTTCCGTATTCGGGACTCGCCTCCTCCGAATTGGTTTGATGCAGGTTTCCCTTCATATGCACTGCGTGTGTGTATGATATATATATATATATATCAAAATAGGGCGACCAACGCAATGGTGGTTCCCTTTTGTTTGTATCACCAAGCTGGAAAGCCCTCCCGCACAAATAGACACCCAACTAGTTTGGACAATGGCACCAGGTACGACAGCTGCAGTTGCAGCACTGGACGACAGAAGTATTTTGGTCATGGGACCGAGGCTCAGATTCTGAGAGGCCGCTTGCTTGATCTGTTTCGGAGAAGCGCCCGTTGTTGGGTTTAATGTTTTGGCTTTTTTTTTTTTGGGGGGGGGGCGCTGTTTATTGCCTAGATTTGTCCGTTCGGCATGATTGGTGCTTTTTGGGTGGGGAGTGGGGAGCCAATCGTTGTCAACCATTGACAGGCAAAGAGAAACAACCATTGATTGGCCAAGTTGGGGGAGGTTGGCCATGTGGGAAACCAATCAAGCAAGAGGACCGATGTGGGAAGGGGGTTGTGATTGCAGAGGTCTTTTTGCTTCCACGGTGTTCGGATTCCTAAAGTTTGGGCAGACGACGTAAGGCTCAGGCTTTACAAGCAGATGGCGCAAGCGTGCGCAGGTTGGGAGGTTTGCTTGAGGATCGGCAAAGTACATCATTACAAACGTGAAACCCACAATATTCCTAGGGAGTCGCTTGGGCATGAACATAGTCTTTCATTCGAATGGGCTTTGATGCTGTAGGCGCGTAAGTATTGTATTTGATACAAGCCCTTTGTCAGCTGCTGGACCTCAGTTGCTGTTTGGCAAGTTTCAGGGTTTGAAGTTGATTCGACTGGGCGGTACGTTGCAACCATATGTGGCTGTGGGTCAAAAATAGGGTAACCCCAAAATAGAACCCGGGTAAAGAAGGAAACATGGACTAAAACCTGCGGTCCATATCCTGGTGGTTTGATTTTGACCCACACCCATAATATGTTTTCTGTGCCACCCTAAGGGTCATGACCCCTCCAATGCACACCCCCGGGCCATTTAATGGAGAACCCCGACCCCTCAGGCGCCCTTGAAGACAACCAGCCATGTGTTCGTCTCCCTGGAATTGGTTTCCGTGATCTGAAAAAAAATCCCCAGGCGGGGCGCCCTCCCTGGCCACTGCGGAGCTGTTCACCGTGCCTGGCACCCAGAGAGGGCTTTTTTTTGCGATCCGAGCCAAACACCTATCTGGAAAATGTCATGCGATATGCTTGATGTTTTCCCAGATTTACATGGAACCCCCAAACATTCATGTCTAGAGAAGAAGCCAATCTCCCCAGCCTGGGTTTATGTTCTGGAGTTTCCTTTTGGGGGACCCGTTGTGAGGTTCCGTTTCTGTCAATTTTATGGAGATGGCAGGAGTTGCGTTTTTGGGGTTCCGAGAATTGGGGCAACCCAATTTGGGCCACTTTGGGCAAAGAAAAAGTGAAGCCACTGCAGGCTGACACGAGACACTGTATGACACATCAAGCCCTTTGCACCCAATTACTCCTAAACACTCAGAAAGGTTTGGATCCCTCGCATGTAGGCAGTTGGAGTATGCTTTCGAGGTCTGCCATTTTCTCGGAGATCTTTTGCTAAACTGCCCATAGTTTCTAGCTTCCACGAAAGGATTCCCAAGATGGACCTTTTGCGGGGCTCTATATTTACAACACAGGCATTGCCATTTGCCGCACTCACTTAACTGATGACAGGTTCAGCAAGCCTGCTCGACAAGGCGCGCGCATCTCCGGCCAAGACCGTTTGCTTGCCGAAGAACTTGATTGCCATCCCTGTCGCCAAGATGTTGGGAGTGACGGATTCTTGTCACGAGCCTGGCTCCACTCATAAAACGGTATGTTTGAATATAATTACAACAAAGATGTACGTACATATATATATATATGTATATATATATATATAGTCAGTGCACCACCGTGAGCGCATAGTTTCGGCCGGCCAGGTGAAGATGACCATCAGGTTTGCACTCTGAGCGAAGGGAGGATGGGCTGCCAAGTGCCGGCGCCCAGATCGACCAACTCGATCAATTGCGACCACCTGTCGGACAAGCTGTCCCAGAAATGGCGAGATCAGATGAATTCATGGGATGATGGCTTGTTTGCCCAACATAGCAACATGGTTGAAGGCATAAGAATGTAGGATGAGGTGCCAGGATTGCCTTGGCTTCGGGTAAGTAGTGCCTCAACACACCATGTTTCAAGAGAGGGATGCCGTGATGCCTCTAAATGTTTGGCTTCATGTTGGTTTGCTGCAAGTCTGGTCTAGAAAGGGGTACCTAGGTGTATCCCCTTCGGAATCCCCTGAAACCATCCCCATTAGGCACACGTATGCGTCCAGTTCAGTTTCAAAGAACCAGCCACTGGGAAGATGGAAGAGATATATATATATATAGATTAGAGAGTCCTGTCGAAAGTGTCTGTCCTTTGTTAGGGAACCAACCATGCAAGCCAAAAGCAGACCAATCGCTCTTTTTTGCTGTTTAAACACGGACCAAATGGGATTCAATAGGGAAAGTCTTGTGTATTACACATTTGGAGGGTTCCCTAGTTTTGAGGCACCATGTAACATCAGTGGAACGTCAGCAGACATTGTCAGGTCTTTTACCCAGGACGACTGGGCGTCGCAGCGGTATTGTACTATTTCACCACGAGTTCCATGGAGGTTGTCCAAACGTGTTTCATGCGAAAACGTAAAGTGTGTTGAGGGCAGCCAAAGCTAACTCCTTTGCTTGCTTGTTATCCTGGGGGTGTTTCTGTTGAGGCTGTTGTGTTCAGGTTGGTGCAAAGGGAAACCAAAAAGAGAGCCACCTTTGCTTGGGGGGGAAGAATCAACGGCTTTGAGCCCGACTGGCGCAGCATTTTGCTGAGGCAGCCTGCCTTCGCTTGCCTTCTGAAGGAAAGACCTTCCCGATCTGCCCAAGCCCAAGCTGGGAATGTTTGGGGGGGGTTCAAGTCTGGTAACTGTTAGTTGATGGGAACGGACTGGCGCCCAGGAAGGCATTTGGACGCACAACTGCTGCATCAATGCATCTTAGGTATGAGTCAAAGCTAGGGACGCGAGCTACTTGCAAATGGTGGCCTTCCTTTTAGCTTCCTTTTCCACAGAGTCTGCTGGATAGTGAGTTGAGCTCACCAAGTCTTCCTCATCCAATGCCAACAAGACCCAACTTAGACTTTCCAGTATGAACAAATTCCAGAGTAGCAGTTGGTAGCTGGAATTGTCACCGTTGAAAACACGCCCAGGTGACCGACAGTGTGTGGTGGTGGTGGGTGGCGAAAATGGCGACGATGACAATGACAACCCCTCCAGGCGCCGGCGCAGCTTGACCTTGGTGCGCCTTCCGTCTCCTGCAAAGACAGCCTTCCATTTGCTTAAGAATATGTTGTATATTCCCTTGTTGGTTTTAGAAGGAGTTTATCACTACTGGAAATATTTTTTAGTTTTTTCCAGGGGTCTTACCCAAGTGGAAGCAGCGGATCTGCGTGAGGACCCTCGGCTGTTCTTGCCTTAACCGTCCTATGCAGAATCCGAAGCGGTTCATGTTAATTGGGAGAAGACGCAAACGAAATGGATAGCTCGGTGGCCGGTCGCCGAACTAGAATGTGTGTTTTTTTGTGGCTAGTCGCCCAGAACTGAGTTATTCGTTGCGTGTTGCTTGTTGCCAAATGCTTGCCAGTGCTGTTTTGGCTAGGCGGCTTTAGACGGGGGTAGTAGTGACCCTGACTCCACAACTGGTTGCAAGCCACATTCAATTTGTCCAAAAGAAACCGAAAGGGGACTAGTTGGATTCATGGGAACGCAGAAATATAGAGCCCCAGGTTTGTTAGTCGAAACGGGTGTCCCATTTTAGAGGAGATCTGTCAAAACAAATCCCTCTTAATTTGCCGAGATCGGTCAACATTCGGCCGGCATTGCCCCCGCCTTCCTACAGGTCTAGCGCTTGATCTTCGCTCGCTCGCATCGCAGGCAGTTTAGCAGCGTGCTCGTGTACGATGCCCGGGCCTTTGGCTTGTGTCCGGACTGTGATTGGCCGGGAAATGGGAAGGTGCGTTTTTGAGGTCACCCTTGCAGGTGAATTTGAAACGACAAAGAGTCCAAAAAACAAAACACAACAATTTGTTGGTTCCCCCAGTGGGGAGACTCGCTAAATGTCCCGCAGCGCACAGACGCAGATTGGAACATTTGGATAGCACATTTGGCGACCATTGGATGTTTGTTGTGTTCTCATGACTTCTGGCATCTGTGTCCCTGCCGATTGCTGCATTTCACTGTGGGTCACGGTTCCTTGAGCAACCGATTGACGGGAGCATGCAAGCTCAGCCTATTGGGGTGCAGGGATGAGCAGAGGAGCAGGTGATGGAATGTGAAAGTCAAAACTGGAAAGCCCTTTTCCGAATGGGTTCAAGATGGCCGTTGGAATGGGTTGGAGCTCATCTTGTCACCATTTCAGAAGGCCGGTGTCCCATCCCCATGTCCTTCCGTCCTTTGTGCAAACCTCGGGGGAATTCCACGTTTTGTCCCGTGCCAAGCCCATGTCCCCACCTACCAATGGTCTTTGAGGCTTTGCAGGCTCGGCCATAGGTTGAGCCCTTAGGTCAGCATCCCACCAAGCTTGCTGCACAAGGAGCCTCTCTCAATACTTCCCTTCGCGCACTGCTACCATGTGGGTCCCAGATTCTTTCAGCGTGGATCCGCAGGTGGTTCAAAAGGCTTCCTCTCCCCTGCAAATAGGCCTGGGACCCAAAACAGCCGGTGCCCCAACAGGAGATTTCTCAAGTCTTAAAGTGGTTGTTTTGTTCCATGTTAATTTTGCAGGGGAGTAAAGTAGCATTCAAGAAAGCTCCAACAGATCCACGCTCCAGTGCCGACTGACCTTATTTATGCCATAACTCCCAAAGACTTTGGGACGCTGGCAAGGCATAAGCGGCATACAGTTGGATGACATTATGGTAGATCTCTTCAAGGATACCACTTTGAAAACATCTGGTGAGCGGCCATCTTAATGGTGAAGCATGCTGAGATATACTATGCATCCGGCTAGACGATGGTGGTCATACGATCGATGAGGTGGAACATGGAGTATGCAGTAACACAGTTGGTGGGCTTGCCAGAAGCACGAATGGCTCGGTTGGAGGGCTCTATGCTGGCAGGTCGCTGCAGGGAGATGGCTCAAGGAGGTGGGGGGCTCAGAACAAATGCTCCCGAACAAGCGAAATGGATAAAAACAAGCCAATTGGGTTTAATTGGTTTTCTCAAAAAGGGTGTGTCTCTTTTGACCTTTTTTGCCGTGGTGAAGACCCAAGGAAAACACAATGCTTTTGGGTCCACTGTTTGACACACGCCCTTGTGGGACCTCCAAAATGGGCTTCGGTTTCTCGCTTTCCCTAAAGCAACCCTGACAAGGGTCCTGTTCCTTACGAAGAAATGTATACAAGTGGATCGCTATGGATCGCTAAAGTTTTTGCCTTGAATTGCGTGCTGCTTCGCAGTCCTAGACGTGTTCTGTTCTAAGCAAGCTCGCAACGTCATAACGAGCAATCCTCGGAACTTGCTGACTGGTGCTCAAATATGTTGCGAGCAACACTATCGCTTCGCAGTACAACCTAGCCCAGGGGAGGTGATAGGCAGATTCTCGCCACCGCGTGTAGCCATGAACCAATGCATGCTAAGGCATGCTGCGCTCACACATTCACAAATGGGTTATTCCCTGTAAGGGTCACGCCTCGAAGATGATTCGGTGGTTCCCCCCGGCTTCTCTTTAAACCAACAGGAACACACACACACACACACAAAGCCTCATAATCCTTGTGCCCTTTGATCTGCACCAGATACACACCTTCGATGGTTGTGATCACTTTTTGTTCTAGGCCTTTCGAGTTTAGTCCATACGAATTTCCAGGCACACCTCTCAAAAGTTACACCTTCGTTTCGGGGTAGGGCATGGGACAGTGGTCTAGATCTTGGGAGGTAGGCTCCAATATGAGCTGCTACACAGACCATGGGACCAATGCAACCACCAGAGCCTGTTGGCTCCAGGGCGCGATCTCTGGTGTGACCTTGCCGATGTGCGATACCTTTGGATGGTTATTAGTGACTCCCTGCTTCGGGCTGAGGCAATTCAACCGGAAGCCACGTTGGGTTGCGACCTGTGTTCCCAGTTGCGACATGTCCCCATTTTGGCACCTGGGTAAATGAACCCAGGGCCTAAAACTTGCGGAACCCCTGCGCGTTGCGCTTTTTCGGCCAAGGATGGCCAGCCTCGTTTTGGGATTTCGCAGGGCAGCTTCCCAGAGCTCCCCACCACCCGCACCGCAGGGGGCCCCGAAAAGGAGGGGATCGGAGAGGGGCAGAGGACCGGTGGGATCTGTTTCGTTATGTTTTCTTTGCTATGTTTTGTATGTGTTGTGTTTAAGAATATGTGTCGGTGTGTGTGTGTACGCGGGGTTGGTTTTGTTTGGCTAGTTTTTTTTGGTTGGTTTTGTTTGTTGCCAGTTTTGTTTTTTTGCTTGTTTCCTTGTTTGCTTGTTTGCTTGATTGTTTGTTTGTTTGTTTGCTTGCTTGCTTGTTTGCTTGGTTGTTTGTTTGTTTGTTTGTTTGTTTGTTTGTTTGCTTGGTTGGTTGGTTGGTTGGTTGGTTGGTTGGTTGTTGTTTGTTTTGTTGTTATTATTGTATTATTAAACGGTTCTTCGTTTGTTTGTTACTTATTGTTTTTTTCGTTTGCTTGGTTTTGCCTCTATATATATATGCATGATTTTGTTGTTTGTTCCAGTGAACAGGGTGTGAGCCACTTCGAGTAAGTGCTCGGTCAGTGCAAAGCCATGCATCTTGGCCCGCAGCTGCAGTGATGCTGACTGTGTTGGTGTACAAGGAGTGAGTGTTGCCCCTGCAACATACTAACAAAGGTGCACAGGTGGCACTTTTGCAAAATGCACAATTCCTGTAGGGCGCGGACAATGCGGGAAATGCTTGTAGTGCCGGCAGACTGCGCGAAGGTATGGTGGTTGTTGCTGGTGCTGGTTTTGCGAGTGTACTGCTGTCCAAGGGGCACGTAGCTGTGTCTGCGCAAGGTTTCCATAGACCCACACCCCCTGCTCCAAGTGGTAGGGGAGGGTTGGGGAGGGGCCAAAGGCAGGGTGGTATTTCGTGTCCGTCTGTAGTTCATCGGCGGATTCACATGTCTGGTCAAAATAGGTACCCAAAATGTGAACCCTGGCAAATGGAAACATGAACTAAAACCTGCGGTCTGGTTTCATTTTTGACCCACACCCACGTGACATGTCTTTGCGGTTCCATGTTCACCTGTGTTCTGCCGAGCTCGCCGCAGGCCATGGCTCTGTGTGTGGGGCCCGGGCTCATTCACGGCCATGCCCAGTTTTGAGGGTGGGGGCCAGCCTTGGGGTCCGCAGCAAAATCGGGACCATCCTGGATGCGTCCGCTGTACAAGGCCCAGCTGGGATCATGTCGGCTTCTTACTCCGCCCATATGGGCTTGTCTTTCTGGATGATTCTCCTTCTGTAGGTCAATGAGGAACGAGACAGCACCTTTCTTTGTAAGACTTCATGACTCTCTGAGTGAGAACCTTCTTTCAGATGAGTTTTCCGCGTTTGTATGGCTGTCTCTACAAAGCAGTCAGCCTGGATAGGCCGAGACAGGCCATCAAGGAGGCTATTCGCGCACCAAGTTAGGATCTAAGCTGAGGACCCTGCGACAGGCTGACCCCCAAAACCCTAAGAGAATGACCTCGACTGGCGTGATGGGCTCCTCTTCTAGAGGTCACCGCTCTTCTTGCAAGGTTCTGTTACCTCTTTCTTGTCGGCGGATTGTTGGGAGCCCCGCGCTGTGCATGCCGATGGCAAATGTGCCGTCCATCTTTGGGCAAGTTGCTCTAAAGCCAGAACTTACATGGTAGGCTGTTGATGCAAACAGTGGGGGTATAAGTGGTTTGCAAGCTGTAAGCGCAGTTGACCTTCAACCATGCGCATGTGCAATTTGCCTGTACGTGTCCAGCGTTTTTTGTGCCTCGCCACATCCCAACCTGGACACATGACTGGCCCGAGCTATCCAACTCAAAGCTTTGACCGTGTTTACGACACGTGGTTCAGCCCTGGGATCCCCTTGGTGGGGGCCCAGGCAATTCCCGCGGTTCTGCCCGCAAGTTGGGCAGAGCACGGCGAATTCCAGATTTTGGTGTTGGAATAGCAAGGGGCAGAGTGGTAGGACCATCTTAATGACGTAGTGAAGCCTGAATTTAGCAACGGCCCGGCAGACTCCTCTTGCTCTCTGAGCAAGCTTGAAGTCAGCGAGTGAGCAAATGAAGTATGCAAGATGGAGTCGAGGGCCACAATGCTAGCAAGTCGGCAAGTGGGCAGAATCTGCTCAGTTGTGGCATTGCATGGGTTGAGAATTTTTGTGCACGTAGCCATGGAATGCCAAATCTCTGACACTGCTTTGGCACCAGTCACAGCTCAAGTGACACCGGAGGGGAACGAACCCGTTCATCTCATCCATTTGTTACTAAAGTGAGAGGGATCTCATACAACGGGCTCGCGACCTAGGTTATGAAGGTTTGTTTCTTGAGGGGCATCATTTCAGGTTTACTTACAGCTCACCCATACTCTGTGTTAACTGCTCAAGAGTCACGGCAAGCAAACATGGGCAGCATCCCGCATGGATAGGTGAAGTGAGGCCAGGTTGCAAGAACAATCTAGTGGAGGTATGAAAAGGCCATAGTTACTAATAGTTACGATGGCAAAAGAGAACCATAGCCGTGGCTGGGCTGTTAGAGAAAGCCTACGGCAAGACAGTCAGAGTTGTAGCCCTTTGACGGCATTTGCGGTGTTTTCGTCTGGGTGAATGGGTTTCAGGCTAATCCTTTTTCTTAGCTGCGAATCCTCGGAAACGGGAAACATGCTTCATGTAAGGCAAGGAATAAGATACGGCTGGCTGGTTTCCCCTATTCCCTGTGCTAGCGAGTCCAAAGGCCCAAAAAGGCGAAGGGTCCGGTGTCCACTTCGGCGGAGATCACCGGGTGCATTCACGGCTTGCCTGCGGGGGTCCAGGACTGGGCGAACGAGCCGGCCGAGTCGCCAAGATGTGTGTCAAAACTCAGACCTCCAGTAGTGCCCTTATTTCCTTTGCTGTGCCTTTCGGTTTTTTCTGTTGAAATGGGCTCAAAAACTTAAAACATCAAGTCCCGAAAAAATGGTTCTTGTTTCGAACCGGCACTAGAGGTCCAGGGAAGAAATGGCGTGTGGTTCGGTGGAAATTGCCAGGGACATAACGGGACTTGGTCCAAGATTTCCTCAAAATCAGTTGGACGAACGCTTATCGTCCCATGTCTAGTGGGGTAACAGCGAAGCTTACCATCGGGCTCATGTGGCTGCGGTTCGGAAAGTTGGCAGCATTTTGGTGGCGACGCAGTCATTATGACCTCCATCCTTCCATCGGGCCCTAGTTTCACATGACAACATGTCGTATGTTCCTAGTCGGTGCTATTGCTATGTGCACATCCTGGCTGGTATGTTGTGAGAATGCCTAATTGGACAACTGGACAACAATGACAACAAGAAAATGTGAGTTTTGGAGGGTGCCCTCTTTTTGGATACCCTCTTGAGAAGCTGGTCGCTTCAAGGCCGTATCGACCAAAAACATGGGGTCTTCTTAGTTGCAGCTCTGCGCCCCACTGCTTCCAACGGAACTTGTGCTTTGCATCCAAGAATTTGGTAAGCTTCTCTTGCAACGCGGGTTAGGCACGGCAGCTGTGAGAGGTTGAAAGTGAAGACCCAGGTTTGAAGGCGTACGGCTGATTTCAGATGTGCACTGTCTGAGTTTGGTGTTTTGGAGCCGATTTTGTATTTACAGTCACTGAGATCCCCATAATTTCCGACAGGGAGAGCGTTGTCGCAGCCATCTTCTGACGGCACCAGATGGGTCTTTCAGAAGGCTTTCCATGGCACCCAACACAAAGCATTATTTTTGGCGTCCAACGGTTCTAGCTCAAGATGCCAATTGAGTCCTTTTTGCATGCATGTTACTTGTTTGGGGAGGTCATTAGCTGTGTAGCAAGTTGACACTTATTGTCATAGACCATGTTTGCCAAACCAAGTCAAAAGCCGACCATCCTAAGGCTTGGATAGCATCAAGGCGCATCAACACAATGAATCAGCAGCTATCTCTGTGACACGGGTGTGCTGGGTTTGTCTGAAAAATTGGGGGAACCCAAAGAGTGGGTGGTGTCTGTTTGGTTTCTACATGTTTCTACTTGTGAACGATGTCCATCAAGGGGTCCCCTACATGAGTCCACCCAGTTTAGGCCAGCACCCACCTGACATGGCTCGCCGGCAAAGCCTTTGACGCTCTTGCTGTGAGGACAAGACCTGGCTGCGGGGAGACCGAGTTCCACTTGAAAGATCGCATGCTTTCCAGCGATTTTGAGGATGTTGCAGACTTTGTAGCGGCACGTTGCCCCTTTCACTGGCATCCAGGAGTGTTGCCAAGAGTTGGGCCATCTCTTCTTTAAGCCATGCTGTAAGGTTTACCACTATTGTCACTCTGTTTTGGCACCCAGGACCCAGGGCTTGGAGAAAAAGGAAGAACACATACAGTGCTGGTGTTGTCCAAAAGAGCACATAAGTCATATCGGGACGGTATACGCCAAAAGTCTCTGGTGAACCCGAGCTCGGGCCCGGATGGCTCCAGGCCGGAGTGCCATTTGCCAGCCTTGAACGAACATATCTTTGCCATGAAACTCGCCAGGGAAATGACTTTGAGGAAATGATTCAAGCCACCCCCAAGTCAGGCTCCATGTGCCGTTTCTTCGAATCACTGATTGTGGCTCTGGGAAGGTTTGCTGGAACGGCAAAGCACGGACCAAGGTCAATGTGAACGGTCCGAGTCTACGGGTCCTTTGCGCGAAGGCGAGGCTGCACGACTTGCAGAGCCGCTCAAGGCTCTTACATCGCGGTTTCATGGTATCGCCCAAGAGCCCCTATTCGGCCACAGCTTGGGGACCCACAACCTGTTTCGTGGTCCCAGAAACCTGCAAGTAAAATGGGGTCAAACTGCAGGCTTGGAGAAACGAGCGGGTCGTTTGAAAGCTTTTTGCTACTTCAGGCAGTTGGTCGTTGACCCGAGGTATCTCCGTGGTGCCTTGCTGTAGGCCGGCTTGATGCGAGCTGAAAAGTGCGCGCCTGGGCGTAAGAGGCCGGGCACGAGTTAGGGTACCATGTGTGAGAGGGAACCTTGAACTTGTTTTGCATGTAAAGGTTCACTAGAAATGGATTAATATCAGTCATATTGGTTTTGGTGAGGGGACAATTCAACAGCTGAGGAACCCTATCTGAAACAGTGGCGGGGATGGGAGTCCCACTTTAACTTTCGTATCACAGAAATGTACTGAGTCTCCATATCCATGTTGGGGCATTGACCACGCAAATGATTTTTGGTATTTTACGGCAAGGGAGATGCTGGTTATTTTTATGAACTTGCCAGAAGTGGCCGTATGTCAGCGAGAATTGGACTCTCTAAACTCGGTCTTCTTCCAGGTGTCCTTTTCACATTCCGAGTTGAGTCCTTGGCTTTTGGGCTGACGTTAAGCAACAAC